CTGGGAGTGTCCAAGGCCAGGCTGGATGAGGCTTGGAGCAACCTGGTCTAGTGGAAGGTGTCCCTGCCCATGGCAGGGGGTTGGGACTGGATGATCTTTAAGGTCCCTTCCAACCCAAACCATTCTGTGATTCTATAAAAATGGAATCAGTGTTCATGACATAAGCAATACAACAAAACAGGACTTTCACAACCCAAGGATGGCTAAGCTGTAAGAACACCAGATTTTTGTTACAGAATGACTAAGAACTTCTCCTGCTCTTTAATCTGTATGTAAATATATGAGTATATCGTAAAAGCAGGTTTCTTAAGCAGCCAACATAAACAGCTACTCACTTTACCAAGACTGACCTAAGCACGTGCCTGAGTTATTTGTAAAGGTACTACTATTTGAAAGACAACAGGCACTGGGGCACAGGACAAACAGTAGAATAATAGAATTACTTAGGTTGGAAAAGACCCTTAAGATCATTTAGTCCAACCATAAACCTAACACTGCCAAGTCCACCACTAAACCAGGTCTCTAAGCACCATATCTACGCATCTTTTAAATACGTGCAGATGGTGAGTCAACTACATCCCTAGGCAGCCTCTTCCAATACTTGATAACACTTTCAGTGAAGAAATTTTTCCTAATATCCAATCTAAGCCTCCCCTGGTGCAACATGAGACTGTTTCCTCTCATCCTATCATTTGTCCCTTGGGAACAGAGACCAACCCCCACCTCTCTGCAACCACCTTTCAGGCAGTTGTAGTGAGCGGTAAGGTCTCCCCTGAGCCTCCTCTTCTCCAGGCTAAACAATCCCGGCTCCCTCAGCTGCTCCTCACAGGAACTGTGCTCCAGACCCTTCACCAGCTTCGTTGCCCTTCTCTGGACGCACTCCAGCACCTCAAGTGTCTTTCTGGAAGTGGGGGCCCCAAAACTGAACACGATATTGAGCATAAACACCCTCACTGTTATAGTACAACACACATTTACAGCCTCAACCCAAGATACATACTGACTTAACTACTGACATGCAAGGAAGCAGCAGGAGTGACTTACCAGTATAAATGTCTATTCTCGTGGCATCTGCATCTCTACAAAGCAATAAAAACCAAAATCAATATTTAAATGTCAAATAGAAATGAAGCTAAAATCCAGGCATATGCAATAATTTCCAAAATGAACTGGCTGCACAGATCAAAGTCAGGCAAAGGCCTCATGGTCAGCACTAACAGACAAGTTAGAAGACACACTGTTCTACTTTTTGTTTACTTGAACCCAAACTCCAGCACAAGACATCACTGTCACACAATTAAAACTTAGTTACAGTATCACTGGCTTTATAACACAAGTCATATTAAGGGGCAGGGTGTTGGGAGTGGGATCAAAAAAGCACACACAGAATTCTGAGTTTCTAATTCTGATTTCATTTTCATCCAATCACCGTGCTTGATACTAAGAGTCAAGGATTATCTAAATATCTTAAGAGTCCCAGCTCCAGTGATTATTATTTTACTAATTTCTTTAAACAAAAAGGCTTATTAAATGTTTTGTTAAATCTACCTTGTGTTTTCTAACAATTTCCCTTCAAATCTGCCCTCCCAGGAATATTTTTTTTTTTTTTTTAGGGGGCAGATGTGGCAGATGGAAGACCAAGGGAAGTATTCATATTATATTTTTTGTAAAGTCTACTAGAAGTGAAAATTGCTCAGTATCAACAGACAGGCTAATTCAATCTTAACTGAATTTACCTTAGGAATTAGGCAATCTCAGGTACATACCTGGCATTATCTACAAGTTCAGCAAGGGCACCAAACAAAAACTCATGGGTAGTTCTGCAACAAAACACAGAATCAGCAGGGTTACAAGACACTTAAAAAGAGAGACTTTTAAATAAGCAATAACCTGAAACACATTTTAAACAAATTCAATTGTATGTCTACAATACAAACATCTGCCAGAGGCAGAAACACAGCAGACAAGCTGGCACATGGGCAGTCCGATTCAACTAACTGCTGCTCACTAATGGTCTAAAAAACACCGCATGGTAAGCAGACACAACAGAGAAAATTACTGACCTAATGAACCAGCCTGTGAACCAGTCAACAATTTGTATCAATCCTTAATTATTCACCACATTGACAGGTCTCTTCATGACAACTAAACACTGCCTATACGTAAAACAGGGACAGATAAGGATTATGCATAAGGTCCGTGTTCCCCACACACATATTCACTTTGCAGAGGTTACTTCTGACAGGAAGAAGCTTACAGATACTGGGAGACTTCCGACTGCTCCTAATTCAGAGAAAGACAGTCTTCTGCCACCACTGTCCCACATCATTTTCCTAACTCAATGCTGAAATCACCTAGACAGGTGCTACTTCAGCACAATTTCAAAAGCCATGTTTACTTTTCGGCCTCTTAACTGCCACCTTTTATAAGCAGCACCTGTTTGAAAGCCATTATTTACATGCCTCAACCTTGTACGAAGACACATAGTGGGAAAAGCTTAGAAGAGCTTATAATTATTACAATACATTGTCTGCCAACATTAATGTAATACCTCCACTGAACAAGCAACTTGGTGATCTATCTTCAAAATCTAACAATTATTTCAAATGTAGATGAGTCACATCGAACCCAATGGTGGAATTTGTTGCCCCTCTAGGATGCTCAGTGAAGAGACTGAGACCTCAGAAACCGTTGTTTGAATGAAACTGCTTTACATACAACCTGCTTTCACTATTACACAAAAAGGCCAAGAGGTAACTAGACAGAAAGTGATACTCATTCATATTTTCAGCTTTCAAAGAACAGATATATGGGTACTTCCCACACATAAAATATCTGTCCCTAACACTAATGATCACCAAACAAAATTTCAGTGTCGTGACACCTAACCCATCAGCACAGCTCCATAGGTAAAACACATCAGCTTTCAAAGTTATCACTAGAACCACGAGAATGAAGATTTCCATCTCTGCAAGCTCCCATTTGCCCCACAGAGAAAAGGCACAGTAGGGAATGGTATTTTGAAGGCTATTTTCACAACTGGAAAGCTTCCACAGGAACTCAAACCTAGTATTCGTTCCTTCGAGCAGGATTTCCTGTGTGCAGATTTCAAGTGCTCCCTCAAGTTTACAAGCACCTACTTAGCTCCACAAATCAATATTCCAGAAGTTTATTTAGGAAGTAACCCACGTCAGTAAAAACCCAGCAGCAAATAGGTGCTTTAGCACTAGTAACTATGCTTCATTAGCAGTTTTTACTCTACAATTTAAAGAATGCTTCAAACTAAGGAAAAGATGCAAGTAAGATACAAATAGGGATTACCAAAGGAAGATGGTGGAACAAAATAGCTGAAAACATAGCCATAGATGATAAGAAGAGTGGCAAGAAAAAACATGATTTCTACATAGCCTGACACCATACTCAACCTCTTGTGCTGACACAGGCAAAGTGAAACCTTGCTACAAGCAAGTGAAAACCACTCCAGCTATTTATCACTAACAAAAAAATTATATACACTGTATCTTCTACTCAGTATATAAATCTCGACAGTTAGACTTATCTTGTCAATATCTAATTAAAGTCACAATTGAAAGTGCTTTGGCCAGATTCAACCAACTCAGCTTTAACAAAAAGCATGGTCTTGCCTTTCTGTCAACAGTGCCTGAAACACTTAACATCCACCATTATCAACTGGTGATCATTCTTCCCCACCTCAAAAAAGAATAAAATTGGGATCATTTAACTTAAAACATAAACTTAAAAAACATGAGGCAAGCTGTTGGCAAAATGGGGTCTATCAGAGATTGCAGATGCCCTGGAAACACTTAAGTATGAGCTAGATGGGCATCATCAGAGGCAACGGTAACCTCCAGCACTCAGAGCACTGGAAATACAACTATTACTGGTCACAGAACTGATGAAATGACACAGGGAAGAGGGAGAAGTGTTATGAAAATCTGCAGTCTCAGCAATAACTCATCTTGGTGGAAGCAGACTGTCTTGGACCTTCCTACAACTTCCAATCTTCATTTGAGACAACTCCATGCAGGAGTGCAGGCTTGGAACAGAACACAAGTCTAATGCCAACAATTTATTGAAATTTGGATTACAAAAGGTCATCAGGTAACTGTAAAACGTGACCAATTTCACACACCTTTACAAACAACCACTTGGAGTAACACCCCAAGGGAAAAGCTTAATTTGTGAGCAGTTCTCCTGATCCTGCATAATCAGACAACTACCTAATCACTAATGAAAGACGTGCTGGGCTTACTTTGGTTTTGTTCTGAAGGAGGCCACACCTGAGAAAATGTTTAAGTTTGGCACCTGCATCAGGAACAAGAGCTATCCTCTCAGTACTCACTCTGTTTCAGGTCAGATCAGAAAACATGCACAAAAGAAATGGGAAAGCTTGAAGAGTGAGGAGATGTTGTTGGTCTGTTATCACTAGTATTCCTCAAGTCCATCATCAGTCATTTTGAAGCCTTTCTATATGACTGACCTTCTTCCACTCCAGCTGTATTCAACAGGACAATTACAGTTACAGAAGAAAACCTCAAGTTCAATCACAAGCTAAATACTACCTACTGTTAGAAGACAATTTCAGCTGTTCAACTTCTAAGAGACTCCTTCAATTCTGCACTACAAATATGCAAAATATGCAAAAACAAATTGGTTGGGCTCAGGTATGTTTCTGTGAACACCTCAGTGAATAGCTTTGGAATCATCTTAAAGTTGCAGCATTTAATTTTTAAGAAAAACCAATGTGAAGGCAAGCAGGTGGCTCTGGGAAGCCATAAAAACAATGCACGGGTAATTTTCATGCACTTATGCACGTTGATTTTAATTCCAGGATCTAAAAGAACTTCTACCTAGAATCACAGAATAGTCTGGGTTAGAAGGGACCTTTGAAGGTCATCTAGTCCAACCTCCCCTGCCATGGGTAGGGAAATCTTCAACTAGATCAAGATACTCAGAGCAGTGTCCAACCAGACCTGGAACATTTCCAGGGATGGGCTATCTACCACCTCTCGGAGCAACCTGTGCCAGTGTTTCAGCACCCTCATTGTACAAAAAAATTCTTCCTCATATATAGACTGAATCTAAGATTCAGAGACTAATTCAGATTCTCTTAATCTAAGATTAAGACACTTAATCTCTTTTAGTTTAAAGCATTTAGTTTAAAGCCCTTGTCCTATCAGTACAAGAAGACAGACTAAGAAGTCTGTCCCCACTCAAGTGTTCATCAAGAAAAGCACTTGGTAATTTTGAAAAAGGACAGAGGTGTTTTTATTAAAAAAATATGGCAACTGAAGTGATTCAGGTACACGCTGTGAAAGTTGCCATCAGACATGGAAGCATTAAGAAGCTACTGAAAAGATCTGCTGCAAGTCATCAGGTTCAGGGACCTGCTTCTGTAAAGCACATCAGACAGACTACTCTGCAATTAGACATACTAAAACTTTTCCTAAAGAAAGTCTTTAAAAATGAGGCAAAAAAATATTCATGGTTTTCTTCCGCACCACAACAGCTGGATGGCTGATTTTTAACTGCAATTTAAAGAATTTCTACCTCCATAACTATGACAGCATCTTTAGCAAAGTGTCTGAGACAGCATGGTGCTCCTCAGCAAGACAGAAGTGTCCAGGAGCCAAGAGCTTCCATTATCAGAAGCCTCTACAGTGTTCTTCGCTTGTTTGTTTTGGGGTTTTTTTTGTAGGGGGTGGAGAAGGAGTGGAGTGGTGGGTGGTGGTTTTGCTTTGTTTGTATTTGGTTTGTTCTTTATTTTTTCTTGTGGGAGCAGGGGGATTGTTTATTTGTCACAGGTTGGTTTGGGTTTGTGGGTTTTTTTTGCTTTTAAAAATTACTTCCATTGTTTCCATTTCCATTCTTAGGGAACGATTTGGCTTATGCACTGATCCCCATAATCTCAAAAGCCTTTTCACTCATGATGGATGAAAAGCCCCAGCTTTGGCTTATTCATATGCAGTAGCTTTCAGCTCCTAGCCATTTTGTAATGCAGTTATGCATTGCAGACATGCAGCACGCTGGAAATAGACCAGCAGCATAAGAACACAAGGCATGATGGCAACACTGTGGCTTAACAATACTTCAGGGCAGCAACACCACATCAGCCTCCTCTGCAGCACAGACATCATCTTCTTAGGAAGACAGGCAAAGTTCCAGTGTTCTGCAGGCAAACACAAGCTGCTGACAGAGTTCTGCCATACAGCCTTACAATCCGTAATTTTTTTTTTTTTTCTGCAGCTGGACAGTTTCACAGATCAGCATCAGGAACGTGACTCAGTATTGTCCATCATCTTCAAGCACCAGACTGTTCATTCCACATGCAACCGCCACCAGCCAAGCCACAGGACATGGACCCAACAGTGACACCGGGCTGTTACTAGGCGTCTTCTCCTGTGCAAAACCAATTGCTTTACTGATCCCGAAATAAATGGACCATAATGCTCTTGGCATATATGTGAGATTCACCTTAGTTGCTCGTGCAGATGTATCCTGCATTACCAAAACCAGTCCGATCTGCTTTGAAATCAAATTGCCCATATTTCCGTGCATGAGAGGTCTTTAGACTGCAGTCCTTCACTCTAAGCTTGCCTTCACACTTTGAACCAGGATAGCGAAAAGATACACCTGCACTTAGTTTCTTCTTTCATTGACGGTAACAATCAACTCTTCCACAAAACGTTAGAAAACAATCTTTCACCGGTGACTGGCTCATCAACATGAGGAAATGTCAAGTGTGATCCATACTGTTTTTCCAGGGTAGTTCATCCAGACGAGCTCTTTATT